CTCTATTCTATTTCGTAGTATTTCAGCATTTTCAATCGATGTTGCGTGTACAATAGATTTTAAATGTCGCCACAAATGAAAATCTAATGGATTCAAATCCGGAGAACGAGCAGGCCATGCAATAGGACCTCCACGACCAATCCATTTATTTGCAAAGTGTTGATTTAAAAATTGCCTAACCACTCGGCTGAAATGCGGCGGAGCTCCATCATGCATAAACCGCATACGAAGTCTAATATCGACTGGAACTTCCTCTAATATTTCGCGTAAACGCGTGCTCAAAAAATCAACGTAGTTTGTGCCTGTTAGTTTCCCATCAAGAAAAAAAGGTCCAATTAAAAATTTATCAATTATTCCTGCCCATATGTTTAAACTGTTGTTGATGTCTTGAATGCACAATAACACGTGGGTTTTCGTCATCCCAATTATGATTATTATGAAAATTGAATATACCATCCCTGGTAAAACTACTTTACTAGAGTTTGCTCTGTTTATAAAATTTATTATATCTCATAAAGGAAGATAGATAGGACATATATTTATCTGACTTTTTTTCATTATTTTTAGGCGTACAATAAGTAGGTCCTACAAATTACTAAACACCCTGTATATACACAGGATAGGTCACCACATATTGTCATTTAGCTTCACGTCGTTATTATTACATGTAGCGAAAAATGTTTCAATCGAAGTTGAGTGGTTTCGAGAGGGGCACGTTTTGATGATACTAGTTTCCTTGTAGGTGCACGTGTAGAGGTTATTATTACCGGTATTTTAAATGGATTCATATATCTTTGATGCACCTTGATATACTTTACATCACTTTTTTTCCATTATTTTTAGGCGTACAATCAGCTCCCGAAGTGGGTCCCACAAGTTACGAAACACGCTGTATATAGAGAAAGAGAGACATCGCATAATTAAGTGTAAAAAAGAGTATCGATTATATCGAGTCAATAGCTGAAAGGCAGTGAGCACATCGTTGAAATTCCCTCGACACACATTTCTTACAGTTTCTGTATCCGTGTAAACTCGCTATCGTATTACCGTTTCTTTATCGTGGGAATTTCTGATGTTTTATTGCCGGGTGACTCGAAAGAGACGAACGATAGGAGATACGAATTGATTTTAGGGAGGAAGGAAGATGGGGCAAAGAGGAAGCTGAATTCCTCGCGTTCGGAACAGCGATTGAATTGCTTCTCAAATTGTTAGGCGTTCCTCTCTGTCTCGAGAGTTTCCGATACACGACGATGCTTATTGTACCGTCATTATTCAGTATCCGGTTCGAGGACCTATTTACCCACCGTGAAAGCAATTTTTATGGTTGCATTGAAATTTGAAATTACTTCGGGGCCGACTTTCGTACATTCGCGAATTCTCTTCAAGACTGAGACACGTAAAAGTGGTATTCGTTGGAAATGAATGTTTCATTTCAAACAAGATGCAAGTAGATTTATGTAAAGATCGAATTGTACATAAATTTCTGAGCAAACAAAATAGTAAACAAAAATTAGAAATTATTGTATTTATTTTAGTTGAAAAATTCCAGAAGTCGTGGCAAGGTGTGTATTTCTCGTTTTGTTTAAATTTACTACTGACTGTGACTCGAGCTGTGACTCTTTCCAGTCGAGAGCAAAGATATCGCAGCCAGATTGCTTCGACCAGTTGCGCTTTGCGTTTCAACCCCTTAAGCTCAAAGCTCGGAATATTCCCTGCAGCACGTTACTTTCAAAGAGCAAACCCCCTGCATTTAAATATTACTCCGAATCATCATTATTAATCGCATTACTTTCTCCCAGTTTTTATTATCCCCCCGGTTGGAAAAAACAATTTCGAAGGGGATGTTTCGCTGCAGCGCTATAAATAAATGACCGCAGAAAGACCCTTGCGAAACAGCCGCTGCCATTTAAAGCAGAAAACAGCAAAGTTGTCTTTCTTTGTTGCTCTTTATCCAACGTGCAGTGTGTCCAGTTTAAATTTATCGAGTTTATCAAGAAGCTACATACGGAATATATATTTCTATCAATTTGGGATTGCATTCGTGAAATCTCGCATTTCTAATTACTGAATTTTTGCATCTGAAACATTGAAATTCGAAATTTCGAACGTTGCAATTTCATCTTTTTCTTTCTTTCCTTTAGATATAGACCGTTAAATGACAGGGCTATCCACAAGTAACGTCGTTTCTTTCAAATTTAATGAACATTGATTTCTTAATTTAATTTTTATTTCTAATACTCTTAATTTAACTTTTAATTTAATAAACATTGCCACCTCGTGACAGCAATTTAAATGAAATAAAATTTTATACAGTATCGAGAAACGACGTTACTTACGAGTACCATTGCTACTTTATTCCATTACATACTTTGTTACTCGCTGTCGTTCGTAACGAAGTAAATGAAATAAATAAATTGGGCTTGTTTCATTTCTCGATAGAAAACGGTACGGTATTTTTAAATTGAAACGTAGTTTTATTATGCATTAAACGTAGGTGAAATGTCGCGATACAATACTCGGGACGGTGTTTACACACACGAGGGTGGAACGTCGGAGGCGCAGGCCTCGAACAAGCGCGTTGGACGCGTTATTGAGTAATCTCTCACACCGGCACGGATTTTATTTCCACGTTTCGCCAGCCGGAGCCAAAAGGGCAGGATGCCAAGGGATCGGCGTAAGAAGGATCAGATAAAGTTCCAGATATGTTCGAGCTCCGCCTACGTAACTAGAAAATTCACTTTGCCCCGCCGAGAATCGCGAATCGACCGACCTCGTCGACCGAACTTCCAAGTGTGTACGTCACTGCGAACGTTTGCAGTTAAGTCGGCGGAACGACAGAATCTGATAGACCAGATTTCCCAGTTTCGAACCTTTGATCGTCCGCGAGATCCAAATATCCCCCGTTTCCAAACTCACCGAACTCACCGAACGTTGGGGAATTTCGTCGAACGGTAAAAATGGTCAAGCTACACTAAAAAAACGTATGTACGACGTTCAAAAGTTTTCGAAAGACGTTTTGAAATATTTTGCGAATGTTTGAAATATTCGTGGCTACGGAGTTGGTTTCGAAATATTCGGATGAAGTGGCTTTAAAATTTTGCGTTGGAAAATTCTGTTTCAACCTGATACAATTTTGTTCATGTTGATTGATTCAATTATTCAACAACGTGACGTCATTTGATTCGATGTATTAATGATTCGACTTTCTATAATTCAATATAATATATGTAATGTATATATAACATATAGATAATATGATATATAATATGTATAATATATGTACAATATAATATAATATATATATAATATAATTCAATATAATTTAATTTTCTATAATTCTGTCTGTATAATATGTATAATATATGTATATAATATATATAATGTAATATAATATAATATATACAATATATATAATATATAAGTAATATAATATAATATAATATATATAATATAATTTAATATAATATAAAAACTATATATATCTGTCTGTATAATATGTATAACATATGTATAATATATATATATATATAATGTAATATAATATAATATATTTAATATATAAATAAGACAATATATATAATATAATTCAATATAATTTAACTTTATACAATTCTGTCTGTATAATATGTATAATATATGTATATTATATATATAATGTAATATAATATAATATATATAATACAATATATAATATATACATAATATAATATAATATAATATATATAATACAATATATAATATATACATAATATAATATAATATAATATATATAATATAATTCAATATAATTTAACTTTCTATAATTCTGTCTTCTCTATAATTTTCCTCTCTTTCTATAATTTTGTCTATTAACCGATTAATTTGTATAATTTGTAATTTTGTCTATTAACCGATTAATTTGTATAATCCGATCAATAAGGGGAAAAGATATTTCGATAGTCCTTAATTACCTTCAATTTCACGGCTTTTAACCACGCCGGGAAAATTCACTGTCCTATTCCCTCAATCTATCCTAAATCAGGATCCAATTAGTGCGCCAAGGAATTTCGCTCTGAGCTTGAAACAACTTTCGTTAAAAAGTGAATTCTCGGTTACATCGCCGGGATGGCTCGCGATTAAAAAAAACAAAAAAAAAAAAAAAAAGAAAAGAAAGAAAAGAAAGAACGGTGAAAAAGGAGACACAGAAGTTATCGAGTCTTCGTGTCGAGCCAACTCTTGCCGACCTGGGAACCGGAAGGGTTGCCACGTTGCCCTCTACTTCCGGCCCGTGAAAACGCTATTTGGCACATAAATATTATCACAACGAGCTTCCGATTTTTCCAGTTTCGGTACAATACGGTTTCCCCCGAACCACGAGATCTTACGCTCTATAGTTTCGTAATATGCTTTTCGAGCTCGTTTCCTTTCCTTTTTCTTTTTCCTTTTCTCTTTTTTTCTTTCCCTCTATAACATCCTCTATTAACACCACGGTAAAGAACGGCCTCTAGATTCTCTCGATCGACGCTCGTCAGGTTCATCGTGCTTTCACGAGCTCGTGCAACTCGAAAGGAAATGAAAAAACGGAGAAACAACGTAACAGCATGTGTTCCGGAGACGTCGAAAAACAAAACACACAACGTCGTGTTAGAATTTGATTATTCGTTCGTTTACATCGTTTACAATAAATAACGCTAATTTCCCCCGTCCGTAATTTTACACAATGATATTGTACTAAAATTGACGCCGCGTATGTCCCTCTCTCACTTTCTCTCTCTATTCATCATTTTCCCCTATACACACACACTTCCTTTCCTTCTAATAATACGCTTCTCTTTAGATCTCGATTTCTCTTTTATTATTTTATTAGAAACAAACAAAAAGAAAGAAAAAAAAAAAAGAATTCTCTTCGTCGTGCCTCCGCTTCGTGTCATCACTCTCTCACTCTCTCTCTCTCTCTCTTGCTCTCTTCCTCTCAACCGTCGACCTTACTACTATTCTCTCTTTCTCCCTGCCTCGCGTAATCGTCGTTAAAGTTAATCGTCCATAAATTAATCGCGAGAAATACTATAAGTACTACAAGTGTGTTTTTAGACGCGAAACGAAGTGGCTGCACACCCCTGCTGACTCGAGCGGGTGCAAAAATCGCGTGACAGAATATGGAATTCCACCTTTTCCTCTCTATCTTCTGTCCAGGGTCCTCGTGCGACATACCAGTGATTGCATGTAGAATACAGAAAAAAAAAAGGACCGTCCGCCGTGAACGTGGGATATTATACGATCTAATAACGCATGTTGTCGCCTATACTCTCGGTATAAACGTGTAGCGCTGCGGGATACCCACAACGGACCACAGTTTTCTCTTTGTTTTCTCCTTTTTCTTTTTTCACTCCTCTTCTTACGTTTAATTTCTTTCGTTTTTTTTTTTTTTTTTTTCCCCTCCTCCCCCTTCCATTCATTTTTACTTCTATCAATCCTATTTATCTTTGTTTCTCACGTATCGACACGGCCGACCGGAATAGCGTATCGCTATAGACACATACACGCGCGCAAACATGCATACAAACACACACGCACACGCACGCACGCATACATGCATACACGCATACACACAAGAAGGAATAGGAACAAGACTTTTTTGGCCGCTCACCGCACCGTATCTTCCTACACACACTCACGCACGTACACACACCGAAATACGTGTCACGATCGTCTCGCGGTGTGTTAAAAACGCGGCTCGTACGAAACGCGATAGAAACCGAGTCCGATCGAGCATCGCCGGGAGATTGCATCGGATCGATCCTTCTGGCGTACGCGCACACACGTAACACATGGCAGTCTTACGAAAAATCAGGTATGTATATATATATGTGTGTGTGTGTATGTGTGTGTGTGTATATATTTTTCGTTTCATATTTATATTTTTTTATTTACTTTATTTATTCCTTATTTTATATAATTCTAGCGTTCATGTTGCTCTGCGCTTCCGCGTACACAGAAAACACCCGCGAGATGAATACCGACATATGTATGTATACACGCCGGCACGCGTGAATCGACGTTCGTTACCTGTTCGAGAATTCTACTCACGCGCATATCTCGTTACCTAGAACGTTACCTAACGACGATCAGACCTCATCGTTCGCAGATTTACGCCGCGTTGGCCGCGGTTTTGATTACACCAACGGAGTAACACCATCGTTACCCCTCGTCGTGCCGTCGTCGTGTTCATTGTTCTCCGTTGTTAGCAATGAATCAAACATCATGCCTACTATTCACACGTTCTATTCTTCTCGGTAACAGTGTATATATATAAGCGAGCGGCCATCGGTATTCCGTGAACCGTTCGGCGTAACTTGTACCTATATACGTGTAGCGGATAACGAAAGAGGGGTTGATTGGTCGACATCGGTCACGAAACTTCGTGTCGTGGCACTGTGTTCGACAGGTTCGAGCCGTGGTGTATATACCAAGTTACGTGCGATCCTCTCAGCCGTATGCGCACGAACAACAGGTATCTCGCGACAAATTGAACGACATCGTGTTGGACGACACGACGCGACGACGGAGGCAGTTCCAAGGAGGCAGGGACCATCATATTCGCCAATTCGCTGGAATCCGCGGAAAGGACCATCCCGCCACACGTCGTACGATGGCACAGAATTGAATCGTTACGTGTATGTATGTATGTATGTATATCACAACCTCTTGAGCGAGGCTTCGAAACGCTCAGTCACTCTTCGCGAACGTTCCCTTTCCTCGTTCCCCGTAGACAGTCGACGTACGTACGTACCATACTACGTACGTATGCATGTATATTGCTTCCACGTTTCTGTTCACGCGACGATACACACGTATATTCATATGTATATATATATATATATATATATATTCTTTCACGCGAACCACCGGAAGTTTTACCAGAACAACTCGTGGCCGAGTCTCGAGGTTGACGCCGATGCTGCGGCTGCTGTTGAAGATGATGACGCTCCGGGCGGCCATGGCGGCTGACCCGGAGCCGCGGTTCAATCCTCGTCGTGGTGCCGCGGGCTGGCGTCATAGCCACCGATCGAGCCCGAATTTTCCGGCGAGAAGTTCATCATGTCCGTCGGCGACAAACTGTCTTGCGGATAGTAGAACGACGGATGATCGGAACTGGGTCCAGCCGCGCCGCCGTTCAACATGGTGGCCGGCGGCGACACGCTAGGCCTCGCCGACGGACCGGCCCCCGTTCCTGGATGGTGTTGCGTGCTCAGGTCCGAGCCCACCGGAGACAGGAAGCTCATCTCTGGCCCGCTGTCACGACACCAGAGCTGCCTCATTTCCTGCCGCCGTTGCCGCATCAGCGACTTGTATTCGGAGATGCGCATCTTCTTCCCGTCCACGATGCAGGTACGTTTCGGTCGCGGCCTGTACCTGTAGTCCGGGTGCTTCTCCATGTGCAGCTTCGACAGCCGTGACTGCTCCTCGTAGTACGGCTGCTTCTCGGAGTTCGACATCGCTTTCCATCGAGCACCTGCGCCAGCAAACCAACAATGTCCTTCAATGTACACATCAACGCAATATAAATATCGCAGTATCGGTTATTATAATTAATCTGTAGTTATAATTTTAGTTATGTTTAAATACACACAGATGGCCGCGTTTGTTGATCGTAGAAATATGACGAAATACGAATGTGATGCGAAAAGTCCAACGCAGGCGTGAAGCACTTTTCTTTTGAGAGAGAACTGTTAAAAAGTGTGTCACTCGTGTTGTTAAGAGAATTTATTCGAGTTGTTTAATTATTTGTTGTTCTATTAGCATAATTTTCATTAAACAAACGTTATTTATATTACATCTATACAATGTACATGTATTTTTAGACACTAGAACTATCGACGATTGAAGCTAGAATTTAAAATTTCCATCAGAGGTATCAAATTTGTGATATTTTATAATGGAGTACACGAGCTTCTGTGTTTATACATTTTACGAGAAATTTTTAAATTTAAATTTCACGTTTAGATTCTTTAAAAACACGCTGTTTATTTATTAAAAAATCGAACAAAGATTGTAAAAATTTCGATCATTTTGATAGTGTTAACATACATATATATATATATGTATATATACATATCTAGTAATCTGGAGATATTGTCAATACAAATACGGATCGTACACAACGTTTATCTTATTTATACGATAAAGATATTCCCATTTCGTTTATTTCGTGCAAGTACGTGTCAGTACACATGTCTCTTGTATATCTCATCACAACTCCTTACCAAGTATTTTCGATATGTTGGAATTATGCATGTCCGGGCAGGCTTTCAAAATTTTCCTACGCTCGTCCTTGGCCCACACCATGAACGCGTTCATAGGTCGTTTGATATGTGGCTTGTTCTCACCCTCCCTCTTCTGCTGTCTCACCATTTTAGCTGAACAGAGAGAAGACGTGTTAGATGTCAACGCCAGCCCGCCGACTGCTCGGCTGACTCTCCCTCTCGTGAGAAGCGAATCTGATTTCAGGTGAGCGCATCACCTGGCGCTCTCGAAACAAAAGCGTAACGTCAGCCTCGTGGCTAGTCAAAAGACTGCTTACCTTTTTCCGTTATGTCTTCCGGTACCTTGTAACCCGGCTCCCGCCACACTGTAATTTCAGAATATCGCTGCATGTTATAATTCGCAACGGCAGATTGTGAGAAATGATCGAAACGATCCGAAACGGGACGTGATCCGTTTTGTGATTTATCTCGTTCGCGAAGCGAGCGAAACACCGAGTGTACAATTCAATCTCGCCTCGAGTCCGGTCTAAAAATTCGCAGCGTGTGTGTTTCGCGTGTTCGTTCGGATCGACGACAATCCACCAGCGACATCAATACCATCTTCGATCGAGACCGCGAGGCGCGAACGACGCGCGCGTCTGTACTTACTGTGCTGCGTGGATAGATAATCCTGTTCGTCCTGCGTAGCCTCCTCTCGAGAACCGGAGTGCTTGATCGGTCGTTGAGTCTGCGGCGACGGAGGCATCGCGCCGGCACTCGGCGGTATCCCGTAAATGCCGTGCATCGCGAAGTGCTTCTCGACGGCGGCGACCGCGGCGGCCGCGACCGCGCCTCCGGCACCAGCCGCTTCGTCTTTGGCCATCACCTTGCCCACTGCAACGATAAATTAAAGCGAGCCAGATAAGGGAAACTGATCGAGGGAGAAGATTTACGGAGAGAATCGACGCGCTGCACTAACGTCATTGTCGCGCCTCGTTGTGCAAACAAGCAAACGATACACCACGGCCAAGAACCATTGGATCTCGTTTCTCCGACATCTTTCTGATGTCGAGTCGTTCGATGTCTCTCCTCCAGATTTCCTCGTTACCATTTATTCGTTTCTATCGTTTTCTATTTTACTAATCGCTGAAACGCTGAAAAACAACATTTCTACCCCGGCAAAAAGATAATGTCGGTGGTTTTCTTTTGTTTTCAAACCAGGAAGCCGGGAGCACGAGTAGAATTTACGCGGCAATCTAGTGTCCACGAGTGACAGCTCGTGGAATCCGCTGGCTCGTTTCTTCTTCTCTGTTATTCTTTTTTTTTTTTTTTTGTCCCTTCGTTCCTTTTTTCCTTTTCTCTCTCTCTCTCTCTCTCTCTCTCTCTCTGTGTCTCTCTAGGCAGTGTCTTTTTCCCGGGGATACGCCGGTACACAGAGAGCCTTATCTTAGAATCACGTTACGCGTCGTTGATTGTGCTTTAAACCGAAAGCAAAAACCGGCCGCAGAAAGGGAACAGGTTTGCTCCGGAGCGAAAGAGAAAAAGAGAGAGAAAGAGAGAGGGAAAAAGCCGATCGCGAACAATCAGGTAAACGCGCGCGCATACCCGCGGATAATTAAGCGTACGTTTTCTGATCCTGGCCGCGTATTCTATGGGGTATTGATCGAATTTTTTCACGGTTGGCCCCCGCGGCCTCGCCTGTCCCCCGAAAAGGGTACACCCTGTCGCCTTTGTAAACGCCAACGAGCGAATGAATTGCGTTTTACCCGATCGGTACCCAAGAGAGAGAGAGAAAGAGAGAGAGAGAGAATGTTCGCAAACACATCTCGATAATTCTACTTTCATGCGGCCCGCGATCGGAATTTCTATCAGACTCGCTTGTAATTTTAATGATGAAATTCATCGCGGCCACTCGACGAGTCTCGTTAAAACTCGACCGTCGGGACACAGGATAACCGATTAAAGCAACAGATGTCTCAAACGTTACCTGGCTACCTTTGTGCTCTCTTCTCTCGTGTTTTATTCCGAATGCTAATCATTTTTATTTTCCTTTTTTTTTTTTCTTTTTTTCTTTTTTCAACCGATTAAATCGCGAATTATAAAAAAGACGAAACATCGAAACGAAAGGATTCTGCTTGTTAGTGAGTCTCTCTCTCTCTCTCTCAGAACGAATGTGAGAAAAAAAACAACAATATAAGTCTCGCTTACTCGGAGAGGAAAGAGTGCTGAGATGAGGTGGCAGACCAGCGTAGGGTAGGGTCGTGAGATAATTCCGTGGCATCGGCAGACCAGGCGGAAAGAGCTTAGGCGCGGTGGCCGCGACCGGTTGCTCCTGCTGTCCGCTGCTTCCCGCCCCTGTCGAGTGCGAGTCGCTTCCAGGCGACGAGGAGGACGCCGTGGCCCCCGACGACGAGGACTTGGGCTTGGTCAGGTTGAGAGGCGCGTCGAGATCCTGCAACGGTGGCGCGGTCGGCGCCACGGCGGACGAGATCGGCGTCGGCGACGCTTCCTTCTCCATCTGCGTGGTCATCTGCGCGAGATGCGCCGTCGCCCAGCCCGGCCCCTCCCGATGACTGCTGATCATCTGCAACAATTGTCATTCATCCGTCACTCCCACGCGATTTCTTTCCCCCTCTGTCTTTCTCTCTCTCTCTCTCTTTTTGCACAGTTGAATTTGAAAGCGTAAGTCGCATGCGTGGTTCCACGATTGTGAGAACAGTAGGACAAACGATTCAGGTTCAGACGATACTGTGACGTTCGTCGAGGTTTTTTTTTCGGTGAAAATTAAGAGGAGGAGGGTGGACGTGTCACTCGTTAGAAAAGCGAATTTACAGCCTCGGAGCGCCTGTAAATTAATACAGTTGAAAACACCGTAACGATTAACCTCTTGCGCTGGAACGACGTGCCACGCACGTCGAGAATTCCTTTGCCCCAAATTGCTACATTTTCTCACAGTTTCAAGTATTATTTTAATGTAACCCAGGCAAAACAAATGACAGGTTTATTGCCTCTTAATAATTTCAGTCCGGTGATTGTCGTTACCGACGAGTTCAAACGAGAAAGAAAGCGAACGACGAATTATTGTGTACGGCCACGGTCACTCGTTATGGTCCGCAAACCAGTTGCCAGCGCAAGGGGTTAAAATACCGATCTAAATCGAACGTGGCTAGCTAACTGTTGCCAAATAATTTAATTTGCGGATTTTCTGCCTCCCGCAACGGTCGAACAACTCTCGTACGCTACCCACGACGATCGCCGGCCGCCTGCGCCGAGATCATATATTTTTAGTAATAAATCTTTTACTTTTTTCCCTCCCCTCTCAAGAGAGAAACCTCTCAAATCGACGTTGCTCACAATCAGACCGATCAGTCGATTCAGTTTTCGTCTGATCGAGCCGCGCTTCCTTCCGTCTTCTTTTTTCACGTGAATCCAGCTCCTTGTCGGTGGCGCCCCCTACGCGGCGCGGAGCGACGCTCTGTGAATTTTTCATCGGGCGTCGAGCAACCGAGGGGGGTGGGGTGGGGTGAAGTGGAGGGGCGGTGGGTTCGCTTTTAAAGTTTGAACGCTCGGTGTTGCGCGTTAGGCGCGCGTAGACGAGGAGGCCTGGTATAAACGTTAATCAAAGTCGAGCGCGCGGGCGTGCGGCGATAGAGGAGGAGGAGGAGAGGGAGGGAGGGCAGGAGAACGACGAGCAGGGAAATTGGGATTGCGCTACGGGTTTACGTACGTTAGCGATCGAATTGATATGTTTGTTGGTGGTGGTTGACGTCGACGTAGCCGGCGGTGGCGGCATAGGCGATTGCACCGGCAATCCTCTGAGCTGTTCGAGAAACGGTAGGAACATCAAGGATTGCGGCCCCGACATGCTCAGCTGGCTCTTTGTCATCTGAGCCTGTAGCTCCTGGATGTTGTGCTGCATGATGTGCTCTTGCTGCCGCTTCAAGTGCTCCGTTTGCAGCCGCTGTATCTCGATTTGCTTCTGCGAGTCGACGGTCATGTGCGCAGGATACGACTGCAAAGCCACGGGACGAGCAATTAGAGGGATGATGAACCCCGTTGTGTCGTCGGCAAAAAACAGAGAATGAAATTTCCCTTCCTTTCTCTTTTTTCTTTTTTTCTATTTTTTTTTTTCTTTTTTCCTTTTCTCTTTGCTTTACAGAGAACGAAAAAAAGCTCCGCCAGCTGCGTGGCTCGCTGTGCTCTCTCGGGTATTCATTTTCTGCTTTTCAGCTGGTACGACAAGGACGATGAAACGTAACGTGGGAAAAATTGTTAGACTCGTGAAGGGGGTGAGGAGTGGGGTGGGGTGGTTTAATCTTTCGGGAACGAACGACTATGTTTCTCCTTTTTTTTTTTTTTTTGTTATTCCGAAGGTAACGGAGGATAACCACTTTCTCGCGCATTCGTTTCGAATTTTTCGATGGAAAACTCGTCGTCTCGATCGTGTTCTCGAGGAAAACTTCCAACAAGTACAGCGTTTCTGTAAAACAGCGAAGAGTGTTCATAGCTTTTAGCCAAGCGAGTTCCATCATCCTTCTCATCTGAAAGAAAACGGCAGTAAACGATAAAAGCAGCCTGATCCGATCTGACAAGGCTTTTTCACGAAAACTGCGTGAAGCAACTGTAAGACAACTGACCCTTTAGCTAACTAGGAGAAAAACCACGCGGAGAAACGGTAAAATTTTTGCAGAGGCCTGGCACCCGCGCGATTTATTGCCGCGTAATTCCTACCATTAACACCGATAATGACAGCGTCGATACCCTTTCGCTAACGCGAGCGCAACAACGTTTTAACATTCAGGCTGTAATTTAACCTCCTCTGCGTGTGAAACGCATCTAACTATTATCATGAACCGAGCTACCAACGATTGAGTATCCAACAACACGATTCTTCTCTTCTTTTTTTCTTCTCCATCAAACTGAAGCTCGTTGTCTTCTTCTCTTTTTCAAAGCACCGATGCACTGGAACCAGTTCCAGATCGAGCTTTCCCAGAAAACGTAATAAAAGAGGCGATCGAGGATATTAACTTTAATTACCGGTTATCGAGCGTGCGAAACGGAAGCAAATGCCCGGAGAAAAACGTACGCGTCATTTATAACTCGAAGTGATAACGCGAGCAGGAAGGAATCCGCCAGATTTCTCCTCTAACTAGTCTCCTTCGTCGTTCGCTTCGTGCAATTACGCCGACACGCGTAAACACACGGCTACTCGAGTTAACGCCCGATGTCAATCGAGGAGTTGTCGTCCGGCTCTAAGTACTCGCGATCGAACGAACATTTCGTAGAAACGTTTGACACATTGCGTGCCCAACCTGCTCCCACGGTTCGCGGATTTTTGGAGCAAACGGGGAAACTTTGTACAATGCATAAATATTACTATATATTTTTTATAGTAATATTTAAGAATCTATTTATTATGCATTTTAGATTTTAACTATTATTTATTTTATGTTTATTTTGACACATTGAGAACGGTATGCTCTGATAAACATACAGCCTGTATTTTCTCATATTTTTTTGAATTATTTAATGTATGATCGAAAGGGTTCTAGAGGAGGTATAGAATTTAACAAGTGTATTATTTTATTAATGATTACAATTATTAATTATTTTTCGTTTTAGAGGTATTTTATTAAATAAAATGAAAATATCTCTAGTAACGTTTCTTGGCGCGGTATAGGAAATAATTTCCCTACTTCTTGAAAAATTATATAACATTATAATATATAATTATATATTATATATAATATTATATCATATAAATTATACAACCTACAATGCAAAAAAGCGTTCCTCGCAACGTTAAAATACGAGAATTCTCGTCTCTCGTCCGCAACAGTTGAAAACTGAAATGTCCACAATGTGTTAAGTATATTTAAATATAACCCAGGCAAAACAAATGACAAGTTTATTACTTCTTGATCATTTCTATCCAGTGATATCATACCGACGAGTTCAAAAGAAGCGACAAACTATTGTATACGGTTCGGTCACTCGTTATGGTCCGCGAACCAGTTGCCAGCACAAGGGGTTAAGTACTCCGTAAAAGAGAAAAAAAGTTACCTGTAGAAGAGAAACTGTATCAAAGTTTAACATTGAACAATTTATAATTTTTCCTAGGAATTTTATATACGTGAAAAGTAATGTATTTCTAGAGATTTTTCGTAAAACGTACAAATAAATAAAAGTTTCTGCAGATTATACATTTACGTATCATAAATGTATAATCTTTATGTATTATGTGTCTTCTGTAGTCTAAATGTATATAATCTTATAAAGTTTTTCCATTCTTTTTACTTTAACGTTTCTGATGGAAATTTTATGCTTCGATCGTCGATGATTTCTTTTTTCAGCGTTAATTATTTTTCATTTTAGAGATATTTTATTAAATAAAATGAAAATACTAGTAACGTTTCTTGGCGCGGTGTGTTAGGAAACAATTTCCCCACTTCTTGAAAAATTATATACCTATATAATATATAATATTATATCATATAAATTAAATATAACGTTGCCTGGGTCTTGTCCTCTACAAAAAAGCGTTCGCAACGTTGAAACACGAGAATTCTCGTCTCCCTTTCCGCAACAGTTGAAAACTGAAAGTCGCGAATTCGCGTCTCCCGTCCACAATGTGTTACAGGCACCGGTGATATTCGCGGTTTGTTTCTCGCAAGACTTCCAACACTCCGCTTACGCAACCGGGCAGATAGTGCAGAACGTTACTCGCTACTTTTATGAAAATCTCGCGCGCATTATGCGCATTATTAATCGTGTTTTCCAGCCTCTTTTTTCACGCGTCCCTGACGCGACCGCCGCCGTCCGCGAGTGGCATCCGACGCATTGTTCCGGCCATTTGCATTGAATGCGCGTGAAAAAGCGACGTAACGAGCGATCTTGAACGCGTGATCGTGCCCCTACGCGATGTTTTTCGATTGTTCCGTCTTTTTATCTTACGAATTACGATTCGTTGTTACGTAATCCAAGAACGATCCGAGAGCAAGTTTCAGAGCTTTAGCCGGGTGAGGCGAGGTATCGCAACAATCTGATAGCCGGACAAATCGATCGGTTTTCGCTGAAACCGCTTTTCGAGGATCGTTTGCGAGGCAAACCACACAGTAGGACGTGAACACACGGCGAGGGTTAAGGTCTGGAGCGTGTAGGTAGAATGGAACGTTTCTTTTCCAGCGTCTCGAACGTCCATTAGTCAGAGAGGCGGCTAGGTGCAGCTATTAATTCAACGGGACAGGGTTTTCAGCGCGGGCTCCCGTTTCCATCGCGGTGTAACAATTCAACGAGGCTAATATCATTGTACTTTCCTACGACCTGGCTCTGGTCCAGATATGCTTGAAGTTTAAAGTCTATTTTAGACGATAAGGAAGACGTTTATTCATCCAGCCTGGGCACCAGCTGAAACGTCACATATGCACGATATTAGGCGCGCGAGCAAGCTTCCTTCTCTCTCTCTCTCTCGATCTTTCGCTCACGCTCTGCTTGCCTTTCGACGCACGATTATTAATCCTCGGACGCGGATCGTGGAAGATCGCGGCCCGTGATTTACGATCGCCACAGGACACACCGTTTCGTCGGACAAACCGCTTGTATTCCCTCGGTCGATGATGGTTTTCTCCTTTTCGTAACTTTTTTTTCGCGAGAGAACGAAGGGAAGACGCCTTCCCTTGCGTGACTTTGACTTTTTCTCTTTTTGGACAGAACCTGATGATTTATATCGTGGTGATAGCGCGCGTGGGAAAGGGACACTTTACAAAAATGGGAAACTCTCGGAACCGTTTGCCTACACGTTGCGTAGTCGGTAAATAAATAGAACAAAGTTGCAAGTTCTGTGTAAAGTTGGAGCATTTACTTGTGCGACAGACAGGTTACCAGGTTCGTGAATGAACCGAGCCGAGTCGCTTCGCAAAGGTGCTCCAGAAATATCGCGCCATGAAAAACTGGCAGAACGATCAAGAAATATCACTGTCCGCGTTCTTGATGAGGATGCTCGTTTCCTTCCTCCTTTCCTCGTCGAGCGTGAAAATTTCATGAAAGTCTAAGCGATTCGAAATTACCCGTGCTTTGAACATATAAATATTCAATGTTTCCAGACAAGATCGTTACCATCCGTTTTCGGTATCGGTATGTCTGATTAAAATCCACTAAATAGCTCCGCCATTAAAGAAGAAGAAGAAGAAGAAGAAAGAAACAATAAAACGTCTGCAGCTTCGCTCGCGAAGACTGCGTTTACGGCCGAGAGAAAGAAAAAAAGAACGCATTATACCTTTATCGAACGCGTCGATCGACACACATATCTCTCGAGAGTCAGGCTTCATTGTTTCACGTGCGTCGACGATACGATATCCGCGTCTATCGTCAGGATCCGCATATTAAGCGGCCTCTGTATGGAAATGCACTCGTTAGAGTTAATTATTGTTGCGCCGGCTCTAATTGCTGCGGCAAGAAAAAAAAAAAAGAAGAAAAAAAGGAAAAAAGAAACAAAAAAGACAACACGCTGTTGAGATCGCGAGAAAAACCGGCCGGACAATCGGTTCTTTTCCGTTCGAGTCTCCCTCCTTCTGCGTATCGCGCAGAATATTTTTATAAATCGGTAACTCCGTGTTTTCGAAACGACGGGCGAAATTATGGTGGCGGGACCGATCGTACCAGGTTGGAGTCGGGGAATACGCGTGGTGGACGCTCGCGTTCATTAACAGATTCGCCGACTAGGTCGCGACTAGGTTGCCGGTGGATCTGGTACGGCGGCACGAAAACGCGAACAATGCCCGACGCAAGTCGGCCCAATAAACGGGACAATAAACGGCCGCGCGCCGGTAATTTCGGGAACGATTCCGACTCGATTCTGGCTCGGCTATAATCGGCGTGCCGGCATCTCTCTCCACCAGCCGATGGAACTTCATTATTCATTTGCAAAAGTTCAGTTATGCCGATGATACGTATCCATGACAGCTATACCGCCCACAGTGGCTAAATATAAACAGGCGGGGTGCCAGCAAGTTC